CACTTTGGCTATGGCTGCCTCAGATGAGTCCAGGGAGTAAGGGCGGACTCCATAAAACTGTTTGACCCACTACATGAGTAAGCCAGTGGTGTAGTCTACATTTTTGTATTGGTTATACTGTGCTTAGAAACCAAGGTACACTGGTTAGTGCAGTGTAATCAATTCATTTTGAGCATGTTGAACATTTCCAAATTTCTCTGATGCTTATATTTTAATAAATGTACAACAAACTTTGTACAACAGTTGGCTTTGTATTAAAAACATGTTATAGAATTTATAAAACAGTATCAAAGCAATGTTCAAGTATTTAGTAGTAAGTACAGAATTGTACAATAATTCGCTGGATAAGCGAATGTAATAAACAAGCGCTGCATACAGATAGATTGTTACGGAAGCATTTTAGTGCTGTTTAACGTAACAATGACACGTGCCTAATGATATGTCATGTATCATTGGACACTTTTAAATGGGTATACTGAAATTCTTAAGCTTATCTACTGGGTATACTCCGTATGCCCATGTATGGCGTACTACACCACTGGAGTAAACCATTTATGGGACGGGGTTTGTTGTGGCTCCTTGGACTGATGAAGTCCTTTGGATAAAGGAGAAAACGTTTCAACAACAACAACAACAACAAAAAAAGTCCAGAGGACCTGTGTTCATTTATTTTACTTCTCTGGCCAGATGGACCCTCAGTTACAGTAGGAGCTCGTTTTTTTTTTTTGCAGCTGTTGTCTTTTGTTCTCAGCGTTTTCTCATTGAGCGTCTCCTTTCTCTTAAATCCATTTTTATTGTCCAGGCTGTCTCTGTTGTCTTCGTTAACCTGCCTCACACTGTAGTGAAACACGTCCCGCTCGGATTCAGAACTCCACCACAGGCGACATCAGCTCATCCATTGTGATGCACATTTGTGTGTATGAGTGGACTGCGAAGCATTTTTCTTATTACAAAAAAAGGGTTGAAAATGAAAAGCATGAGGGTTGTGCACTGGAATTTGCTTGTGTGACCTCCTCCCTGGCTGTTTGACAGAATGTGGAGAGGGTTTGGACAGGGTGGTCGTTGCAAAGCACTCAGCCGTCTATCGACTGGCAGCCATTGATCTGAAAAATCCAATGACTCACTCGCCGCTCAGAATGCAACCCACATGCATATCCATGAAGACGTGACTTGTGTGTGTGTGTAAACAAGCGCACATGCAGACACTGACTGATTAATGTAATTACAGTCCACAAATTAAATGAGCATAATTGGCGCAGAATATTTAAACTGAGATGTTGTTTGGGAGATTGCAGTTAACGGAGATTGCCAACCCCTGTCCTCACGCAGTAATTGAGAAAACGGCGTTGGAAAATAAAGGTGAGATGAAAATACGGGCTTTGCATTTGTAAGTGTAAGAAAACAGAGAAAAGGCCCCAGCTGCTCTCACCTTTACACACAAACATGTGCAGAAGCGTAATGAATTCGAGGCCTAGCATTCCTTGAAGGAATGCGTATCAGCCACAAACTTCCTTCATTTTTGCGTTTTCCAAGGTCAGCTGGCTGTGGTGGCCATCTTGAATCGACTTGACTTGGAATGTTGCAGAGGTGATGATTTCCAGGAGGTTTCTTTAATATATATATATATATATATATACTTTATTAATCCCAAAGGGAAATTAATTGTCGTTGTAACTCATCATCCTGGTTTTATTAGCGCAGTTACAGATGCTGATAACTTTGGGCAGGAAGGATCGCTTGTAGAGGTCCGCCCCATAGCGGATCCGAAGATACTGCAGATGCCAATCTGTCCACCCAGACCCAGCAGACCTCTTGGTCCTCTTGGGCAGGACTGCCTGAATGCCAGGGAGAACTCTTCCCCGAGCGATGACCATTTCTGCCAGCAGCCTGCCGAGCCCTTCATCACTGCGGACTTAACTAAAGGTGCCAGTGGACGATCTCGGTCCTCCTGCTGTCACAAGCCGCGTTTCCCACCACCTCCCAGATCTTGGTGGTCAGGCACTCGAGCACCGCCTCCAGGTAGACAGGACTGCATCCACGGCACCTCCTTTTCAACTCATTTAGGATTTGGAGCTGCAGTAGAAGTATTATTTGAGCATATGAGATGTTAATCAGCTGCTCCCAGTTGTAGAAAACCAACTTGTTGTTATGGTTACACATCATAACAAATGTCCAAATGTAAAAAGGTTTCAGTAAAAAATCCTTCCAACTGCACAGCATCCAACATCAGAGAAAGTAATTCTAGAATGTTTGATCAATTAGGGGGGATTTAAAACTTTTCTACAAGAAATCAGTAAAGAATAAATATTTCCAAGCAGAGCACTGATATCAAATATTCCTCAGAACTCTAACTTTAAGCCTAAATTTAAATTTTTACTGTCAGACCACACAACAGTTTGTGAACTCTGAACATGTACCTCAGACGGGAGGAGTTTCTGGGATAATCCATATTGTGATGGTTTTGAAAATTACACAATATTTTTATTAATTAGTAAATGTGAACATTTCGTGAATTTATTTTTTAATGGAACAAACATTTAATTCATGGTCTTTGAACATACATCATGCAGTATGTTTTGTTTTGTCAAAAAGCCATAAAACATTTCACTTTAATGTGATATTATTTTGATGGCAAATCAATGACATACAAGGTTTATAAATGATCAAAATCTTTTTACTTTTTCCATTTGCAAGTTACATCATTTATCAGCTGCGTTCCTTTTGCTCATTTTTATCGTTTCATCTTTTTAAGCATGGTTTAAAAAAAAAAAAAAAGAAAAACTCAAAACGATAAAATAATTAGGATCACTCCCTACTTTATTATGTGGAAATGCTCAAACACAACATTTGGAAACTGACTGTGGATCAAAGAGGTCACAAAAAGACTTAAAGGTCCTCACATCTACAGAATGATAGATTTTATTTGACAAAGTTATCCACCTTCTTCTCTTTTCTTATTCTCAACTTAAGAGTGGTAGTCTTCCTCTGTTTTGTTGTTTGCTGAAATTTCATTGAGTGCTGCCACAAAGTCGAATGAAAAATACTAAAACTGCTGAAAAGTGCGTACTCAAATCACCTGTGGATTACTCTGAAATTATTTTGAAGTACATTTAAGGCATCTTTGAGTTCAGCTTCTAAGAACATGAAAATCTGCTACGGTGCTTTTAAATCTGCAAATTAAAAAAACCTTCAGATTTTGTTGAACGCTTGCCCGGGCTGATCATTTCCCACCAGCACAGCTTAACGTTAGAGAAGTTCAAAGTCCTCCCTGTGAATCAGAATTAAAACAGTTCCTTTCATTCAGCCTTTATTTACACAGGTTAGTCTCGTTGAGTCACGAGGACTCATTTTCAAGAGACACCTGTTTCAGTGATAAATCAGCTTTTCAAGGAATTTGACCACCACCTAATGGAAACATGGGTTGTTGGAAAGACTCATAACTACAGCAATTTATCACAATAAACTATTTTCAGATAGATCACAATGATAAATATCAAAGCACTGACATTAGATGGTTGGTTACATCATTTTAAATACCTTGACTATAGTTGCCGAGGCAAACTCAGTCCCAATAAAAATAAAAATTCAACAAGTTCTGAAGGCTTTTGACCTGACCTGAAACTTGTTTGTCACATAGCATCCATGCCAGAAGCATTCAGACCTAAAAATGTCAAATTTTAGAGACAAAACTACAAAAACGCAGGTTTCTGCTCGACTCTTTGCAGGTTTAACAAAGGCAGTCAGCAGGAAATCCGATGCATCATAAATGCACAGAACCACATCCCACTAACTAAAATGTCATTATTTAAGAAAGATAAAAGAACACGAAGCACTAATCTCAGTAAAATACATCTTCGTTTTCTGTGTTAGTTCAACATTACCACATAATGTAGAAAATGGAAAGCATGTACAGATTGCTGAGGTTTTTAATGAATAATCATCAACACATTTATGTACAAAGCAAGCAACGTCATGTTCAAATTTAAGAAACAAAAAGGGAGAAAACAAAAAGGTTTCCTATAATGGACCTTCTTGGTTTTTTTGTGTTTTTTTTGTCATTAAAATGAATAAAGCTTAACTCGGGAATCATTTTAACAGTTGTTTTACAGAGCAAATATAATTAATAATGATGACACAACCTTAAAGATGCGCTCCGAAACTTGAATGAACCTTGAATGGATGGAGTTCAACATCCCTCTAAAAAAATGTTAATAAAATGTTTTTTTCTTCTTCTTTTAAATCAGAAAAAGCTGCGCCCTTACAGTTTCTAATAAAGCACCAAATTTCAACTTTGTTCTTCACTTGTTCAGTGATGCAAACGGCCCCACCCAACAACATTTTCGGACAGATTTTAAATCTATTTGAGGTTTAAATCAAACGAGCTTTTAGGCTATTTAATGTTTGCACATTATGACTTGCTACTTTGACCAATTTGCCATTTGAATACAGCAAAAAGTATTCCAACGACACACTGAGAAATCCTTGGTTACCTAAGTCTAAATTATTTTAAGTGACTTCAAATGCAGTAACCTAAGTCTTGACCACAAGATGAACTTAAAACAACAAATTTAAAACTGTTAAAACAATATATTTAAGGGGATGTTTCTGCTTTAGCTTTGACCAAGAATATTAAAATATCTGAAGCTTTGTGGTTCATATTTATCAGAATAAAATGTATCGTTTGTCTCAGATGAAAATGCAAATCTATCAATATGCAATAATTTTAGGATGTTAAATTATGAGGGTTTTTTAATCAAAAGCAAATCGTGTTCCAAAACAGGCAAACCCCAACAAAGCTCAAATAAAAGAACAAATCCGAGTCCAAGATTAGCTTGGAGCTATAAAGAGAGGTAATGAATTCACACACAGGGCTGTGTCGACTGAATTACACATTTTATAAAAGTTATTTTCTTACAGACAATATATTGAAATGCCATCTATCTTCTAAATAATCCGATCTCGCGTCCTGCTTCACTCCTATGCCTCCGATCCTAATTTGCGTAATGGTATCACCAGTAAGGATCTACTATCTCTGACTTCATCTGCAATACTGGGATCATAAAACTGGGAACTACAGGTAACTGGGGAGTGGGTGGTACAAAAGAACAAGGAAGCTGTCTTTACTTGATACAAATCTCAGGAAAGAACAACAGGCAAAACTAAATTAAAGAAACTTAGAATGTATACAAAAACACACGTGCCCCACGAGTTAGTTTGGTTTGTTTCCTCTTCGGGTTTTACAACTGTTTGTGTTCAGTGGCAGCACTGGTGGGATGGTGGTGAAATCCACACACACACACTAAAACTTGCTGTACAGTCATAACCGTGCACACCTCAGTGTGTCCTGTTTTCTCAGTTGTTTCATAGGTGAAAGTCCGCACGTCTTTTGCTCTCAAACAAACAGAATTAAACTGGGAGAAGTGTGGGGCAGTGACCGCTGCCAGTGCTCCTACGTTTTTACAGCGACATCTAGGGGAGCTCCTCTTCTCTGCAAGTCCATCGGGTTAACAGAGGGAGCTGTGGGAAAAGTAGGTCCATCTTTTAAGAATCCTACATTTTGCTCCAGTCCTTTGAGGAGATACAGAAAAGATAGAAACACGTTACAACACAGCCATCAACTCTGTGTAGTTTTAATAACCAAAGAAGAAAGTATCAGTGTCCACACGGAACATAATGCTCAATTATACATGTGGAGTTTCAATTGTTAGCGCACACGACATAAAAATAAAACGGTAAGATTGATTCAGTGGTATTTAGCCCACATCACAAAAATGCTCATAGAAACAAGTGTCTAAGACATCTGTGTCTAACCTGCTTAGAGTTGAACTTTTATTGTTTTAAAATGTTCTGACATTGTTTCACTGCAGCACTGACCTTTGAGAACCCTGACATGCAGGTCTGCACAAAAGGTAAGTGGAATTAGACCGGGTGGAGCAACCACTTCGAATACTGAACAGGTTGACCGCATTTTAATGAGTTATTGATAAATGCCCTGACTAATCATAAATGATGAACGAGGCAGAGGAGAGGAACGGATAACTGAAAGGGAGCGCTCGTGAGAGAACTAAGCCGAGGCAAAAATCTATAAAGGAAAATTGTTTAATACGTACACATGATTTGTTTATTTATTTCCTATGGAAAAGAGCTAAAAGTAATTTGGATGTTGACAAATGAAGCCGACTCCAAATTAAGAAATGTCTATTTGAATCAATGATCAACAATTTAATAAGCTTGGAATTGTAAACCTAACAAAACTGACGGAATACCTGAAAGGTGGTGCTTAAATGTGCTACAGTGGTCCCTCGTTTATCGATCACGGGGGATTATTATTATTATATTATTATTACATTGCTTTATAATGTAGCTTGTTTTTGTTTCGTTTTTATATCATTTCTTCTATTTAATTTTTATTTTATATGCCTTTACATGATTGTCTATTGATCTGTACCTCATCTGTGTTTGTTTAAAACAGGTCTCTCTTGTAAATGAGTCCTCGTGGCTCAATGAGACTAACCTGTATAAATAAAGGTTGAATGAAAAATGAATCGCTTTCCTCAAAATTCTGCACACAATACACCATTATGACAATGTGAAGAAAGATTTTTTTGAGATTATTGCAAATTTATTAAAAATAGACAACTAAAGAATCACTTTTACGTATGTAGTCACAGTCTTTGCCATGTATCTCAAATTTGAGCTCAGATGCACTGTTTCCACTGATCAACCCTGAGATGTTTCTACAACTTGAATGGAGTCCACCTGTGGTAAATTCAGTTGATTGGACTTGATTTGGAAAGGCACACACCTGTCTATATAAAGGTCCAACAGTTGACGGTGCATGTCAGAGCGCAAACATCAAGGATGAAGACAAAGGAATTGTTTGTAGACCTCCGAGACAAGATTGTGTTGAGGCACAAATCTGTGGAAGAATGCAGAAAAAAATTCTGCTGCTTTGAAGGTCCCAGTGAGAGCAGTGGCCTCCATCATTCGTAAATGAAAGAAGTTTGGAACAACCAGGACTCTTCCAAGAGCTGGCTGACCGTCTAAACTGAGCGATCGGGAGAGAACGGCCTTAGTCAGGGAGGTGACCAAGAACCTGATGGTCACTTTGTCAGAGCTCCAGCATTCCTCTGTGGAGAAAGGAGAACCTTCCAGAAGGACAACCATCTCTGCAGCAATCAGGCCAATATGGAAAAGTGGTCAGACGAAAACCACTAATCAAAAGCCACATGGCAGCCCGTCTGGGGTTTGACAAAAGGCACCTGAAGGACTCTCAGACCATGAGAAACAAAAGTCTCTTGTCTGATGAGACAAAGATTGAACTCGTTGGTGTGAATGCCAGGCGTCATGTTTGGAGGAAACCTATCATCACCAAGCCAATACAATCCCTACAGTGAAGCATGGTGGTGGCAGCATCATGCTGTACTCTATATGTTGTCTAAAACATGTCTTGGGAAAACAAATAAGATACCTTGTGACTCAATGAGACTACCTGTATAAATAAAGGTTAAATAAAATAAAAATGCTATGGGGATGTTTTCCGCAGCAGGAACTGGCAGACTAGTCAGAATAGAGGGAACGGTGAATGCAGCAACGTACAGAGACATCCTGGTTAAAAACCTACTCCAGAGTGGTCTTGACCTCAGACTGGGGAGACGGTTCATTTTTCAGCAGGACAACGACCCAAAGCACATGGCCAAGATCTCAAAGGAGTGGCATCAGGACCACTCTGTGAAGGTCCTGGAGGGGCCAAGCCAGAGTCCAGACTTGAATCCGATTGAACATCTCTGGAGATGTCTGAAAACAGCTGTGTACAGACGTCTCTCATCCAACCTGATGGAGCTTGAGAAGTACTGCAAAGAAGAATGGGAAAAACTGCCTAAAGATATGTGTGCTAAGCTTGTGGCATCATATTCAAGAAGACCTGAGGCTGTAATTGTTGACAAAGGTGGATCACCAAAGTATTAAGCAAAGGCTGTGAATACATACGTAAATGTAATTTCTTAGTTTTCAATTTTTAATAAATTTGCAAACATCTCAAAATATGTTTTCATTGTCATAATGGGGTATTGTATGTAGAATTTTGAGGAAAGAGATCAATTTAATACAATTTGGAATAAGGCTGCAACAAAATGTGGAAAAAGTGAAGTGCTGTGAACACTTTCCCGATTCACTGTATATTGAGTTTATGAAGGGAACACAAAGATCTATTTTAATGAACATAATTTTCTTACATTCATATTGACCAAACATCTTAATTTAGAGTTTATTTACTTTTTTTAGTACGTCATATAAATGAAACATAAAAGATAGAAATTTTACCTCAAGGACTTGGCTGTTTTAGCTTTCATCATCTGAGACATGGGGTTTAGCGATAGCCATTTCCTCCTTGCTATTTGAAATCATCTTGCATTTCTAAAAAAAAAAACACACACACAAAAAATTCAGTTACTTTAAAAAACAGTATATCACACAGATCTTAAACATTTGGACTGTAACCATTTTCCACTTCTCACATTCTGTGGTGGTGTGAAAAATTATGTTACTATAACACTTTCTCACTTCTATCACATTTTCTTAACAAAAACTGTTACTACGGGTATATATGAGTGCTTCATGCTAAGCACTCGTAGCATGAAGTTAAACAATGCATACAACATTAAATGTCATATAGTTCAGTGGTGACCCCATTGAGGGTCACAAACAACTTATGCATTCTGAAATACTCTAGAAATCAAACACAATAAAAAAAATAATAACTAACGGGTACTAGCTTATTTTCACTATAATTGTTACAATAATACAATCGGGATCCTGTGTACACAATTTTGTTCCATCACATGTAACACATGCAATGAAAATGACAATAAAGAACCTTGACTTGACAAATTATAATCATTAATGCAAAAAGGCAGTAAAATATAATTTTAAGCTGTATCTTCTTCTTTCGGCTCCAACTACCTTCATGTCCTCTCTAATTTTAAGCTGTATGTCTTGTCATAATGTCCGTAATTATTTACTTTTTTTAGCAATGCTTGTGAGGTTCAACCAAGAATATTCGAGGTCATAATCGTTGCCATTGTCATTTGAGGGTCAGAGCTAAAAAGTTAGGAAACTGCTGGTTTAGAGCATCAACATTACTTAAGTAGGTTCACAGATACACAAACTACAGTGTGAAAACTAAAAGGACTTCCTTGTCACAAAAAACACTCAAAACATCAGTCAATTTAGCATCAGTTTTATCACATGCACACGTATTTACCTCTGTAAGTTCCTTGATGGTGTGTATGTTGGCCTGCTGAGTGACTTTCCTCTTTGCTTCCTCAATGTGGTCCAGGTTTAGAGATGGTGCTGGGGGGGCAAGGCACGGGGGAGGCTTATTAGTGATTGTAGGAAGAGGGGCAAGGGGTGGCATGGCCGCCAGGGCACCCATGTTGGTCAAGGCAGCCGTCATGGTGGCTGCTGTCATACTCGCCACAGCAGCACTCATGGTGATGTTTGACATAGTGGGCATTCCTGGAATAGAGGACAATCCAAGTGGACCCATGTTGGGCATATTCGGCATTCCCATGCCCATTGGAAGAGGTAACGGTAGAGGTAATGAGATGGGGGAAGGAGATGGAGTGGGCAAAGGGAGTTGGAGGATGGCTTTTGGTCGAAGACTTTCAGGAATAGGAACCCCTGCCTTAGCACACATGGCAGCAGCATTGGCCTTGGCTATTTCAAGCAACTGGTCCTTATCTGAAGAAAGCAAAGACAAAGAAGAGATAGGGAAGATTGATACAATACGGAAGAAAAATCAAGACGAGATAAAAGGATTAGGACTAGAGTAATAAAAAGTGAATTGTTTATTAAAAAAAAAAAAAAAGGACTTGTATATATTACATTCAAGCTTAAGTTTTGCAAACATTTTTAACTAAATGTTTTACCCAGATCAGTAAGTCGAGGTGGCGTTTTGCTTGGGCTGCGTCGAGTTCGAGACCCTGAGCGTCTTTGCTTGCGAAGAATTACAACTGGAGAGTGGCTTGGTTCCCTTTTCCATCTGTCTCGCCTGTCAAATGACCGACTGCGAAATACTGGCCTCCTCCCTCGACCTCGTGACCTGGACCTGCGTCTACGATCTGAGGAACGGGAACGTGATCTCCTGCTTCGGTCTCCTGACCTGGACCTTTTCCTCCGGCCCATGGAGCGGCTCTTGGATCGCTTATTCCTGTCAGTGGACTTGGACCTCCTCCTTCCACGGACATTTGGTGACCGGGAACGTCTCTTGCGAGCTGGAGAACGGGATTTGGATCGCCTGTTTCTGGTTCGTGATTTGGAGCATGAGCGCTTACGACGTGCGGCAGAACGAGATTGTGACCGCCGCTTTCGAGCAGGGCTTCGAGATTTGGACCGTCGCTTCTTTCTGTCTGCTGGAGAGACCGACTCTCTTTTCCTCACTGGAGACTTTGATCTGAACAGAAGAGTAGAGGAGAATGAAATGCACACAATTAGCAACATAATTCAGTGCAAGTTGTACGATGAGCAAAATGTCATGACACAGATTTTCTGATGGCTTTTTTTTCCCCTTTACAGCTTTTATTAACAAAGAAACCACAACAACATTTCTCCCACAGATTTATTTACCTACCAAAACAACAACACTTACCGTGACAACTTTTTTCTGAATGTAGACTTGGAAGTCGAACCAGAAAGTTTCCCAAGATCAGCAGGTGAGCGTGACTTGGACAGCTTCTTCACTGGTAGTTCTGGAGATGCTGAACTTGAAGATTGTTTCTGGCTTTTAGATACTGCTTTGACAGGAGATTCCTCATCTTCATCTGACCCTTCTGAACCATCTGAACCAGAGGCTGGCTCATGGGAAGGAGATCTGGAACTGGGAATATACCAGTCCGTATACTGAACAAGCTGACCCTGCAACTTATCTTGCAATTTATCTGTAGAATCTCCACCTTGGGAATTGGAGTCAGTTGTTGAAATAATTGGTTTCAGATCAGCAGCTGGACAATCAGAGACAAAAAAAAACAAGCTTAAATTATGAATTGCATCAGTTATCTCATGCTCTAACATGTAGCACAGAAAAATGGTTTTACCTGCTTCAACTGAGTGTCCTCCATTTTCTTCAACTATCTTTGCTTCTGATGTTTCCTCTGTAGTAGGAGAGGGAGACTTCTTTGCTTTGACTGGAGTGCAAGATACAGATCTAGCTGAAGATGAGCTTGCAGACCTTCCATCACTTGATACAGACCTCGACTTGTTGACAGGTGGAGAGAGAGATTTAGACTTTGACCTCCTCCCACTCTTCTTCGGAGACTTGGACCTCCTTTTGCTATGTTGTGGTGAACGGTGCCTCCGAGACAATGAGCGAGACTTGGAGCGTTTGCTAGACCTCGGTGGAGAACGATTCCTCCTTGCAGGGGATCTAGAACGTCTTCTGACCGGTGAACGAGTTTTAGACTTTCGGCGAGGAGGAGGAGTTCTAGATCTGCTTTGTTTGCGAGGACTCCTGGATCTGGAGCGACGGGTGCGCTTAGGCAAAGCAATGGACCGTGAACGGGTTCGCCTGCTCCTGCGGACTGACCGAGACCGTGAGCGGCGAGATCTTGGGAGAGGTGACCTCCTGCGTCGAGATAAGGATCTGCTCCGGGATATGCGCCTGCCTCCTGCACGCCTTCCTACTGACCTTGATCTGGATCGACCTACAAGGCGTCTAGATCTCGAATGGGAGCGGCGGGGTCTAGTGACGGAACGTGACAATGAACGCCTACCTGCACCACTTCGCCGAGGTGATCGAGTCCTTGAGTACCTTGTACCTCCACGAGAACGTGACTTTGATTTCCATCTTCTTCTTGGAGATCGAGATAAGGAGGGGGACCTTCGCCCACCACGTTTAGGAGATCGTGATACCTTTCTTTTGGGAGAGAGAGAACTCTTGCGTCGCTTTGGGGAAACAGACAATGAGTTTCTCTGCCGCTTAGGAGACTTGGACTTCCTTGGAGATCTTGACACCTTCTTTTTGGGAGTAACAGAAGGAGAGGCCGATGGGGAACGGCGTATTAATTTCTTTGGAGACTTACGGGTAGAAATTGGGGATTTTTTTGTGGATTTAGGGGACACAGAGCGAGACTTAGAATGGGCTAGCGGTCGGCTCTTTAAAGGAGTTGGAGACGGTCTTTCTTTTGAGCTCGACCTTGACTGACTTCTAGACCGTTCTTTCACTAATTCAGTTGGATGAGCACTTGACTGTTCCTTGCTAAAACTAGGTGATGGTGACCGACTTGGACCTGATTCTGACTTTTTTATTTGTAAGATCCTGGGTGGAGATGGAGACCTGGCTGAATCGTGCTCTTTGAGCTTTGCCACTTGAACTGAACTGGTATGATCTTTCAGGCATGGGTCGTCTTTTGGAGCAGTACCTTCCAGCTTTGGGATAATGTCAGGCAATTCCTGAGCACAGCTGAATGTACCATCTCTAGGACTTTCTTCTATCTTCACTTGAACAATTTCTGCCTGTGTTATCTCATCTGGGCCAGCAGAGGGTGATCTTTTATCATTCTGTGATTCATTGGCATCACAACTCTTCACTCCAGTGAAGGATTCATCCATTATCGGCATCTCTTCTTTCTTCAAGTCAAGCAATTCAGGTTTCTGCAATAGGATGGGAACTACTTCCTCCTCTTCTTGTTTGCCTTTTGGAACCCGTTTAGATATTGGTTCTTTAAGATCAGATCCAGGAGCTGAAGAATATTTGACATCACCAGCTATTTTAGCTCCTTCGCCTTCTGACTCAGAACCTGAAGCTGAGCTGCTTTCAGAGGGAGATGGGGATTTCTTTTCATCTTTTTTTTTCTTCTTTTTCTTTTTTTTGGCAGCTTGTTTTTTATGTTTTTTGGATTTTGTGTCACCCTCTGTTTCTAAACAGCAAAAGAAATGAGTCAACGTTAAACTACATTGCAAATGTAACACGGTTAAGTCGGCTCCTCTGGACGAATTATTCTTTGTTGAAACGTTTTGTCTTTTATTCAACAGACCTCTTCAGTCTGAAGAAGTCTTTTGGATAAATGATGAAACGTTTCAACAAAGAAGAATCCATCCAGAGGACTGACCTTGTTAGACTGATCTACCTAGATTATTGAGCATGCATCAGGATATATTGAAAATGGCATTTATAATGTGCATTTATGGTTGAATGGTACTTTTGTATACCTGTAGTAGCTTTTTTCCCCTCCTCTTTCAGTCCAGCATGTTCTGTAACTCCAGCTGCTGCAGCCAGTCGAGCACTAAAAAAATGGAAAATAAGGAATAAATTTTGTATCAAAACAATGTTTAAAAATTGTTATAACTGTAAAATAATTTATGAATCACAGTGCAGACACTTGTGAAAAAATAATGTTTAAATAATTTTAAGTTGCAAAAATGAGACTTACCGGTAAATTATAGAAAATCTCCTTTTACAGTTAAAAATGTCAACACGTCAATTTTTTTAACGTCTTGAAAAATTGAGCATTTAGTTGCAACTTAGCATTGTATTCACTGGTATTAATGATAATAAATGTAAAATCTTAATTGTCCTGACCTGGCTCTAGTGGTCCTGACAGGTCTCGGCTGAGGTGGGGAATCTCCATCGGACTCTGCACCAGATTCTGAACTGCTCTCCTTCTCGCCTTTTCTCTTTCTCTTTTTCTTCTTGCTTTTATGCTTTTTGTGCCTCTTGTTTTTCTTATGAGGGGATTCAGTCACTTCTTTGGCATTCATGTCATCTTTCTCAGGTGCTTCATCCTCACCTGTATGGGCAAATAAAAATTCTGATTACAAAGCTCTTTAGAAGTTCACAGTGAAACCCCAATTTTATTTTATTTTTTTTCATTAAACAACTGTCTGTCCTTCTTTCACATAAGGGATGAAACAGTGACCGGATTTTATGGCTAACAATATAAAATTTCACATTTAAGTGTTTCAGTGCATTTTGGAGTACAATTAAGTGCTTAAGGAAATCTATTTGCAGTCAAGTGTAATCTATTCTTATCAAAATCATGTCAAATTTATTTATAAAGCACATTTTAAACAGCAGCTGTTGCCAAAGTGCTTAAGAATAAAAGTGCAAAGAATAATTGACTACATCCAGGAGCACACAGACTGACATCTGCTCAACTTGGTGACTTTACTTTTCTAAAATGTAATTTTCTCTCAAATAAATAAACCGGTCATATCATAAATTTTGTTTTAAATGCAAGATAGTTCAAAGAATCTAAATAAAACAAAATTAAAGCAGTACAGATTTTTTTCTGTCCTATCCATCACTTACCTGGTGGAACGTCCACAGCACACTCCATTATGCCAGCACCAAAATTTTGCAAAAACTTCTGACAACTTTGCTGTGTTTCTGTTTCACTCAGCACTAGGGAAGAAAACAAAGGTTTTTGTAATTTAAAGATGCAACAACACAAAAATATTTTACAATGCATTTATCACACACTTATCGGTACATCCCAATGGCAGCACAACAGCAATCTAAAGTTTATATGACACTTAGATCTTGGGACACGATGAAAGTGTTCCACCATCCAAGCCACAACACATTTATTCCATTTAAAACATCTAAAATGATAGTTGCCACACTAACACCAACAATCGCGGCACAAAACTAATGGGACCAACATTTAACATAAATCCTAACTAAAAGCTTTCAAGCAGCACATGGATTTCCAATCAGTTTTAAAAAGCTTAAGCAAATCTCCCAACTTATTTGCCTTTTTAACACTACAAGACAAAAAAGTTTTCCAAACACTAAAAATAAACTAATTTAATGATTATAAAATAATCTGAACACATTTGGTCAGATTATTTATGGTGTGTTTCACACAACAGTGAAGCATGATTGAACACATATTCCATACACTCATAATTGCTGAACTTGAGAATTAATTTTTTTAAATTATAAAGGTTGGTAAAAATAAAATAGTTCCACATAATAATAAGGATCTATAATAGCCATAATAAGCAGAGAACATGTGAGATGACCTACTATACAAAAGCATTTGACAACATATCTATAATAGCATTTTATTTATTGTATATACACTTTAAATTCATATAACGTCTTTTAAATAAATAACCATCCCAAGACAAGTATCAAAATACGCTTCAGAAATAACCTCGTAAATGCTAAAGCTACAATTCTCAACATGCCGCTTTTCTTTAAATCATATGAAGACGAAACAGTCGGCAATAAGTAATAGTTGTTAGAAGACTAACGCGAAATAATAAAGGCCGGTTAGGCACGATAACCAAACAAAGCCAAACGTGAGGCAAGTTGGGACCGTAAACACGTTAGATAACGCTGCTCAGTGTCAGGCCTGCACGACTAAGCTAACATTCATTCACAAAGGGTACCAACGTACTTTAAATTATTTAAACTAAAACTTGAGTTTATATAGCATATATGCATTTATTTTAATTGTTCCATACACATTTTTATCGATCGGGCATCTTGTTAGCTGTAATAACCTAAATGTGCTGCCTGCATCATGTTGCTGCGGCCTGCAGTTCACGTCTAGCTCGAGACATTTACCGCTAATCAAGCTGCTCAGCCCGATGAACATTTAGCTGCTACGTATGCCAACGAAACAAATTCGTTTTTTTGTTTATACCAATTTATTTTTAAACCACACATTTACCCAGTTTATGATGAGTAGCTGTAGTTCCTGTGTAGAAAATGTCAAAAGACACCTGACCAGTTGTTGAATATGCTAATCGTTAACGTTAGCCTACTCTCTACTCCGCCATGATGAAGCGAGGTATCCCAGCATGCCATGCTTCGCGGTTTGAATGGCTGCGTCACTCACCAAACCAAAAGCATTTCTTTACCTTCAAAATATTTCCTTTTTTTTTTAATTACTTTGCAAATATTTGTTAGTTGGCCTTCAGCAAGAGAATAACATAATTTGGTTAAAAAAATACATTACCTTGTTCGTGTCTTCTCAGTTTGAATATAACTTACAACATTGAAACCTAATTTTGAGTTTGTTAAAAGTATTCAGTGACTATATAAACTGTAATAACAAGGATAATGTCTACTTTATTATGAATTTTATTATGAATTTTGTTAACCTGCTAAATGTATATGTATAGACTGTGCTTTTATTCTGGTGGGTACATCTGAAGCTTTCGTGTTGGCTGTGCATTTGTTTTGGTGGGTACACCGGAAGTGCGTCATCTACTGTTTTGTCTGTCTAGCGTAAATAAAAGTTTTCTTACTATATTAGACCATGCGTTCACGTTGAAATATTTTTATCACGTGAAAAAAAAACATGAAGAGGTTTCATATCAACCTTGACGATTCAGCTTTCACTAAAGGAAGAGCACCGGTGTGTATTTTTCCTTATTTGTAGCAGCTACTTAGCTATATGGCTAGCAGAAAATGGCTAACAATTGCTCAGTTATTTCAACTTTTATTTATAATGTAACCTTTTAAAAATAGCTTAGCAAGTTAACTAAATCATTTTTTAGGGAGGGTAAGCTTGCTAACATACTCTTGTATGATTTCATATACAATTCTTGATTTAAAAAAATTCCTTCAAATTATGTTTTTTCAGCCAAAGCCACAGTTTCAGTCTTCATCTGGACAACAAAACTCTACACCTTCGACTGCTTCTACCATAAAGCCTGCTGCCAAACAAGTTCAGACCCTGTCTTATGCAGAATACATCGTCCAGAGTAAAAGTAATGTCGCTGCTGTTCCACAGAGAGATTCATCCTCCCAAGAGCTCAGGAGTGAAGGTGCTGGACTCTGTGGTCTGAAGCAAGGAGATTCAGAATCATCCATCAAAGGAGGAGGTTGTGAAACGGACCAAGATTATGTTAAAGACATTGAAGCTCAACCAGAGCGAGTGAAAAAGAGTGAGGAGACACTGATGGCTGAGGGGAACTTCCAAAAATCAAATCCAAGTGTGAAGGGTCCCAAACCAGTGGGGTCTGGGAGCAGCATTATTGTTAGTCCTCGACAGGTAAAACCAAAAGTTTTTTAGACCCACAAAAAAATAGATATGCAAAAATTACCCCTTCATGCATCTTCCTTGTGTAGTTGATGTGTTTTATACTTGTAAAATAATTGGAAGACCCCTTTGTGTTTGTTTCCTCAGAGAGGAAATCCTATTCTGAAGTTTGTGAGGAGTGTGCCATGGGAGTTTGGAGAAGTTGTGCCAGATTATGTTTTGGGACAGACAACCTGTGCCCTCTTCCTCAGGTGGGTTTTTGTCCTTTATAGCCAGGTTTTCCTGACAGCAATTTTGAATCCCAGTAAACAATTATGTGTGTGTATGTACATGTGTGTGGATATGTACACATCTACTGACTGTGAAACTAATTGCCCCTCGGGGATAATAAAGATACTTGAACTTGAACTAATTTAGGTTAAACTTAGTTTTGTGTATTTATATATATAAATATATTTTATAGTAAACTTTGTCCTAACTCTCATTCTCCTGTTTGTTTTTTTTCTACCTTTTGTTGATGCTGATTTTGTGCCCAATTTGAAGTTTGAGGTATCACAACCTAAATCCAAACTATATCCACGATCGTTTAAAGCTGCTTGGAAACACATTCACCCTGCGTGTGCTGCTGGTTCAAGTAGATGTGGTAGGTACACATAACTTGTATCATAGGCTGCTTTATTTAAAGCATTTATGCTTTGGTTTCAATTTATCATCCAAACTGGGAGGAAAACAGTCATTGTTTTTTTGCATTAACAAAATTAATGTATGTGTTTGTACTTAATTCTGTAATTTATTTCCTCCTGATTTGTTGGCATGCCTTATTTCAAATAAGCTTAAAGTTTTACACCTAGTGTGAAAATGTTTACCGGTACTTAGAGTCTTGATTTAGTACCTCAAAGGCTGCAACACATTCGTCTTGTGTTTTTGTTTTTGAATAGAGAACAATCATGGATAGATATTTACTTCTTTAAAAACCTTTGGCCACAGCTAGTTGAAATGTAAACAAGAGTTTTTATGAAAATGTATTCCAGAACTGAAGATAAAAATCAATCTTTTGGTTATCTTGTGACAGTCATTAATAGAAAAAAAAAACACGATAAGTGAAGTCATCACAAATAGTTGACAAAGTTTCAACCATGCATCAATAAATCAGCCTTCACAGAACAGTAAGTGTAATGTGAGCTGTCTTTGCAGAGCTGTTCAGTTGTGAAGAATGTCTTGTTTCAACCAAATCAGTTAAACTGGTGTAAGTGAAGTGTACAGCTGGCAACTATTTTTGACACCACAAGGAGGAAAACGCAATGTTCTATCCACAGTCTAAACAAAAAAACTCCTGTCTCAAACTACATTAAAGGTTTAAGATGGAACATGGTTTTAAATGTCTTTTTATCATATTTTTGAGACAGAAAGATCCTCATCATGCATTACAGGAGCTGGCTCGTATCTGTATCATGGCAGACTGCACGCTTATCTTGGCTTGGAGGTAAAACTGCAGCAGCTGCTGTTTGAGAGATTTGAATGCTACCTTCTCAAAACTGAGTGCTTGTGACTGGCCTTGCCTTGGCAACATAAAAGTGTGTAATCAGAAGATAAAGTGGGATGATTTTGATAGCTGAAGGTGTTTGGGAGTTCAACAGTTTAATCAAAACTTTACGAGGCACTTTGTTTTTCTAGCCTTCAAGTCTAAATCCAGCATGTTTTCTCATTTTGCTGATAAACTGGCAGCCCCGAAGAAGCAGGACGCTACCTGGAAACATATAAGTCATATGAGAAGAAGCCAGCTGACCTCCTAAAGGAGCAAGTTGAAAAAGACTATCTCTCAAAGGTCTGCTTGTTTTACATGCCTTCTTTTGCCACAAAATTTAGAAATTATATTTTTAACACACACACATATATATATATATAATAAATATATATATATTGTCAGCGTTAACTGAATTCTTTTTCTTAAAGGTTACAGATTGTCTGACGACTGTGAAATCTGTCAACAAAACTGATGCCGTAACTTTGCTGTCCACTTTCTCAGTGAGTATTTTTGATGGGGGTGGGGAAGATAGGGTCATTTTGTGTCGTCTGAACCAGGGGTTGATTCCTCGACTTGGACTGACTTTTCACTTTTCTTGAAGAGAATAATTCCTGTGAAATAGATGCAGATGATACACTTTTCTTTTACAGTCTGTAGAAGGAATCATCAATGCCTCTAAGGAAGAGTTGGTGCTCTGCCCCGGCCTTGGACCACAAAAGGTGAAGAATACAAAAACAGAACTTCAATATGCTGATAATAGACTGAACATTTGCCATCTTATCGTTTTGTTTCGTGTTCACAGGCAAGACGTCTTCATGATGTGCTTCACAAACCTTTTCTCAAGTCAAAGACAGAAAACAGCTGAGACTTTTTACACAGTCAAGAAGAAATTACATCACTTTGGCCATGTTAAGCAGCATTGTCACACATTCTACATTTTAATTACTGTAAATAATTTCCTCATTCACTAAAATGTTAAAAGATATGTGTATAAAACATTTTTTTTACCTGACTAAGTATTAGCCAGGGGTGCATGTGAACTTTCAGAGCTGCAAAATGTTTAAGTTTGTTGTTTTTATGTATGTGTGGGTGTATGTGCATGTTTTTAGTAATAAACAATGTTTTATACTGTTTAATGTCCCCCTGCTGCTATTGATTCTCAGCACAAAAAGAATAAAAGAAAAAAGTGTGTTTATGAAAGAATGGGTTAGTGTTTGGAAAAATCCCCAACGATCTAATTGTCAGAATATCTTTTTCAAGGCAAATACAACGGTTAGTTATTTAGAAGTACTGTACTGTAATCCAGTAAATCCTGTGGAGGATTGTGATGCGTTAGAATGCATGTAAAGAAGAAATTAGAATGGCAAAGTGATTTTAATTTAAAATGTTCCTTTTTTCCTCATAATACTATACAAGTTTGTATGGTTCATCGTTTTGAAAACAAGAAAAGTCCTAATTATGAGATACTATCTCAGAATTGCGACTTATCTCCAAATTATTAGCTATTGTCTTGAAATTATGATTTAGCGTCACATAATTATGAAATGCTGTCATAATTGTGAGAAACTCAGTTATAAACGTGAGTTATGATCCTAATACTAAATTGTATTGCATAATTATAACTTGTGTTTTTTTTTTTTATCCAGGAATAGTTTTTAAACTATAAAGTAATTCGCATTCTATTTATTTAATAGTTGCAGAGTTTAGAAATTTCCGATAATCATGAAGGCGCCACCGTCAAAACAGGAAGTGATCGCTCTGCCGAGTTTTGCCGCTTCGCTATAACATTGATATTGTTCTTTGTGGTGTGTTAAAGCCAATTCAAAGTGGTTAAAAGGGGTGAGGTTATTTTTAAAGGGAAATTCAAACTGTTTATAAAGCTCGTTTGAGTCATGCAGTCAGACAAAGAGGACGAGGAAGACGCGGCTCCTGAAGAGTTTGTTGCCTTGTGTGGTTTCTCTGGAAGTTCCTCCGAGCAGGTTGGAGAATCAGCTGCACTCTCAGGGACAGAGCTGGGAATATCAGCACTAACTTCTGATTCTTTGTTCGTCTCACAGCTTAGTTTCAGCTCAGGAGACAGGCTGCTTGTTCACTCCAAGCCTTCAGCTGACTGGTGGTGGGCAGAGCTGCGGGGGGTCAAAGGTTATGCTCCTGCCAGCTACCTGCAGCAGGGCTCTGCCGAGGGGGAGGACACCTCTTCAGAGGACCCTTGGCAGGATGACGAATACTTCGGCAGCTATGGCACCCTGGTTGGACATAACCATTATCTTTTGCTGACATTTATTCATATTCAACTTTATCTCCAAAAGTCTTTACCACACACAACACAAAAAGAAAACCAACATTAAATGTATTACATGTTGCACAATAACAAACAAAGAGAGATCAGCATCACAATTCACCCACTTTGTGGTAAAGCTGCAGGAATAACTCAGAGCTGCCATCAAGGTTCAGCAGCCTGATGGCAGAAGGAACAAAGGAGTGAGACAGTCTGCCTGTCTTCCTGCGTGGTGCTATCAAGCAGTAGCTTGAAGGTGTCTAGAAAATCAGGAGACAGGATGTGGTTCTGTCTGGATACTGTTTCCCTTCATTTGGAGAGCATCCGTTTCTCCCACAAGGACTGTAGGTCCCTCTGCTGGACTCCCAATTATTTTGGCGCAAACCTAGAATGGCTGTTCTTATCCTTTATCATCGAACCCAAATAAAGAAAAAAGTTAAAATACTTTAATAAATTAGGGATAAAAATTGAATAAAATTTCCTTACAAATGTGTTTGGGGAGTGGTGGCGCAGAGTTTAGAGAAGGTGGGCCTGTGATCAGAAGGTCGCTGGTTCGACACCCCGAACCAACAACATCAAAATGTTGTTGGAAATGGTGAAACACCCTCATTTACCCCACTCTGGGCCCTTGAGCAAGGCCCTTCATCCCCACCATCTGCTCACAATCAGGTGTCTCTCTCTCTCGCTATATATATATAAAAAAAATGTTAAAAGAATCCAACAATTTTCAGTCAGGTCATATGGACAGTTTCTTTTTTTTTTTTTTCCGAAACGTTTCACCTTCCATCCAGAAGGCTTCATCAGTCAAGGAAACACACAACACAAAACTGATTCTTCCCCTAAACAACTTACTCCAAAGTGGAACAAACCAGTTATGTTGGTGCTAAGATGGTGTCTTTGGCACGCCCCCTCCTGTGGTTCCGGCCCGCTTCCTCGTCAACAGTCATGTCAAACTGGTTAAAAGAACATTAAAAGAATTTAGTTTCCTCAGTAAATGGATTTTCTTCAAACATGAACACTGACTGTCAGTGTTCACGTCAAATGTTAGTTTTGGAATCAAACACAATTTCCACATCTTTTCCATGAATGGAGCTGAGTTTAGGCATTCTCCCATTTTTAACTCAAATCTACCACAAGCTTTGTCTTCGAGACATTAAGATCAAGATAACAGTCATCACACCAACCCACAAAATCAGGCGGGGCACCACCCTCTGACTCTGAATCTTGAAGAAGGGTTAAGAGCACTGTTTCATCAGAAAACTTGACCATGTAGCTTCCTTCTGTAAAAGATATATAAAATAAAAAGAAGGGGTGAGAGAACACAACCCTGGGGTGTCCCTGTATTTGTGCTCAGAACTTCTAAATAAAATGGGTTTGTTTAGTGGCTTTATGACAATCATGCACATTTGAAACATGATGATCCATTCATAGGGACATCTTTTATTTATTTATCAAAGTGGCTATGTATTTGCAACATAATGTTGCTTTTGCTATAATCTTTAGCTTGGGCCAGAAACATGAAGGAATGGACAGCAGCTGATTGAAAAGCACCAACTAAGAAACAAAAACAGGTATTAACTAGTTCTGCTGAGTTTAGAATCAGGTTCATGTGGACACCAGAAGTCAAATACATCAGCAAAAAAAACTTTATTTTTGTGAGAAACTTTGTGTTTGCAATTTTAAATAGATAACACAGATAGAAATCTTATGGAAATTAATGTTTCAAACTACCGTTTTGTTATGAAAACACCAGATCTGGGGTGTTTTTTTGGCTGTTAAATGCTCCAAAACTTATATGGGAACACATGAAGCTGCACTGTCTCCATGGGTGGTCTGTTTTTCGCCCTAACGTCTGTGAGATTTTATCGTAGCTGTATTTGTGATGCTTCAACTTTTAAATTTTTAGAAATGCAGACAAGAAACAGGTCAAAGTTTTATGACAACACAAACGTTCGACTCACGATGCATTTGAATGTCACAGCTGCTGGTGAAAGTCAAATTCTACAAGTTGTAATCAGTACCCTTAACGGCAAGGAGTTAATTTATTAACAGACTAATCTGAACAAATTTCCCTTTCACTATCAATGTTTCTGTATTTTTATAAGAGCTGAACATTTATATTATTATTTATGTCCACAAAACTACTGGCACATCTGAACCATGGTTCACAGAGACAGTTCAAGGTTGTTAAAAAGTTAACATTTTCCAAAATTCTTATGATAATTATGAGTTTATTTTGTAGACATATTGTCTCCTATGTAAAATACATTTGGTAGTGTTTGGCTTGGACAACTTTATAGATCCAAGACAAAAAAATGTGCAAAGAACATAGATAACATGGATTATAATGAGGCTGTCTGCTACTTCAGAACCATAGAAAACACCATGGATTTATCAGTGTACAGCACAGTTAGGCTGCCGATGTTTCAGACTCAAAGTCAAGGTTGTAGATTGTAATTTGCACAAACTTCAGGTCAGATAAAGGATCAATGAGCCAAAGTGACCTGATTAGCATATTCAATAAAACATCCCTGATGTCCCCTGTGCTCTATTGCTTCCAAATCACCTCCTGCTACACAGATAAAACAATAATTATTTATTTAAGTAGAGCAGGGGATATTTGTGCCTGCTTGGATATTCACGGCACAGTTGTGTGACTTTTAGTTTTCTAGTCTGATTAAAAACACAATTTATCATAAATTAAGGATCATTTGATAATATAACATAATTTCATTACACCTTAATGACTAAAGAGACCCTCCAACGGCAGAGTTTGTGTTTTAATTGATAATGTCTCACGACGCAGAGACTTCACCTGGAGATGTTGTCAGACAGGAGCCGCACCGAGACGTACCGGCAGGTTGTCCTCAGCAACAGTGCTTCCCTGAAGAACAAGGTGGTGATGGACCTCGGCTGTGGGACTGGGATCATCAGCCTGTTCTGCGCTCAGCTGGCTCAGCCCTCCGTGGTAATCATGACAGGAATGCTGACAGGGTCGTTTTCACAACATTCAGGATGTGGTCGAGTACCGTATTTTTCGCTGTATAAGTCGCAGCTTTTTGCATAAATTAGCATGCCCTGCGACTTATACAGCTAAGTGACATGTTTATGTTTTTTTCCCATATTTATAAACTAATTTTTGGCTGAGATTGATGATTTCATTCATTCTGACAGAGAAAATATTGAACACTACCATTTTCAGCTGCTAGAGGGCAGTCGACCAATATGGCAAGCCAAGTGTCATTAATAGGTAAAAGCGGCTATTAATGAGACACTTGGCTTGCCTTATAAACACCTTCGTCTCACTCGGGAACTCCTGGAACAAACGTCAAATCAGCTGCATTTTGCCGCCCAGGTGAAATGCAGCTGATTTGACCATTAAAGTGAATTTATTACGGAAAAGTTCAACTGAGACACACCTTTGCTATAATGTTGTGTAAACAAATTATTGTTTTTAAGTGGTAATCTTGTTAAAGTCCTCCCGTGCACGTTCCCGCGGCTGCCATTTGGCATCCAATCGATTTTTGGCACACTGGCTCACGTTTTTGGGTGGTCAGTGGTGACGCATAACAAATGCGATGCGTCAACGGTGACGCATAATAGATGCGACTTATGCGTCGAAGCAACATATTTATGTTTTTTTCCACTTTATTAGACATATTTAGGCTGATGCGTCTTATACGGCGGTTCGACGTGTACAGCGACAAGTACGGTAATAGTTTCTGAAAGTCTTAATAGTCTTTGGAGGCTGCCATGATGAGCAGTTTGAAATTTTTTAAATGCTAAGAGAATAAACGTCAGTGCTTCTTTCATTACCTCCTTTAGGATAAGAAACACTAAACTATTCTTTTTGAGGAGATATTTCTGTCCGACAGTTCCTTATACTTCGCTACGGTTAAAGCAGCACACCTATTTTTATCCAGTCAGACTCATTTTGTTTCTAATAAGTGATCATAAAGACAAGAGGCTGAGTGAGAACATCTTATCACAGCATCTTTTTAGTTTTGGCTGCTTTTTCAACTTTTCAAGTTCCAAAACTAGATCTGATTCCATTTAGGCTGTATGAAATTGTGAGATAAGCACATATTGTTTGTAGTATTTAATAAAGTTTGTAGAAACGTCTCTGGTGTCATTCCACCAGACTCACACAGTTTGCTGTAAGTGTGGTCAGATTCTTGTGTCAGCACGCTTGGCTCTGCTGCTAACCTTGTGACATTTTCCGATAAAGTTGAGGACAAATACATCGGAAAAGACTATTAAACTGGACGTTTGGATTCTGTCACACACACACACACCGGTTTTTAGTTGAACCATCCTCAGTGTGGAAGCTGTTGGATGATGGACAGTGTGTAACAGAGATCTTTAGAATTCAGGGCAGATAGTCTGCGACACCAAATTTAGATTTTCTTATAAATTGGGGGTCATTAGATATTTTTTATTTCAAAAAATCTAACAGTAACTGCTCAACCTACCAGTAAATAAATATATTTGACTTTTTTTTTAAATAACTTGTACGCTTAAAGATAATTTAATCAACGAATCGGCTTTTTTCTAACTTGCACATCATTAAATTGTATACACTAATAATTTGATTATACTTTTAATTTGATTTGACTTTTTCTAGCTATGAAGAAACCTAAATTAATGTTTGAATTATTATGAAATGCTACAAATCTCAGCTTCTACCAATATATATAAATTCTTTTTAGGATTTCAGCTTTTTTTTATTAAATCGAAACACTAATATATATATATACCGGTAGTATACTGTAAAATTTAAACAATAAATAAGAAAAATATATAAACTTGATTTATTGTCCTCCTATTTTTATAATAATATAATAAAATCCAAGTCAAACGGAGTTTAGGTGGTCCTCATGTTGAACATCAGTGTGCTTGCAGCTTCACCTGCTGAATGAATTGTGTTACTACATGGAATAAACAGCTCGGTGTTTCAGGTGTATGCTGTGGAGGCGAGCTCCATGGCGGACTACACCCGGCAGCTGGTGAAGCAGAACGGCTGTGAGGAGGTGGTGGAGGTGGTCCAGGGTCGAGCTGAGGAGCTGGAGCTGTCGGAGCAGGTGGACGTCCTGGTGTCTGAGTGGATGGGCAACTGCTTACTGGTAAGACTGACTCTCCCACTGCAGTCACTTCAAGCTTTCCTCTAATCTTTCAGGCTGTCACGCCTTAATACAGTAATCCCTCGTTTATTGCAGGGGTTACATTCCAGACCACCCTGCAACAAGTGAAGATCCACGAAGTAGCGACATTATATTTATTTCAGTATTTATATATATATATATTTAAGGCTTTATAAACCCTTCCCACACTCTTGCAATGTTCTAAACTCTTAAACCTAGGTCATTTTAACAACATATGCACAGTACTGTATATGTAGCTACTAAATTTTACTTAACAGGCTTGGCAGAACAGCAGCGGTTCGGTTCTGGTCTGACTCGGTTCCGTTTCTGCAGATTTACCCTGCAGCAACTACGCCCACAATCAATGTTCTAAACTCTGACACCTACTAACTTTAACAACATACTTATATGTAGCTACTAAATTTTACTTACCAGCGTGTACCCGCTCTGAGGTCCTTGTGGGCCGGTTGAAAGAGATGAAAAAGTCCTGGTGGACTCCGGATGGAGCGCTGGACCTTTGGTGACATGTGTCCCGCTTGGAAGTCCTCGTGGGCTTGCAGCTCTCAAGATTCACCGATGGGAGGTCCGGTTCTGCTCCAGTTCTGGTCCGATTCCGTGGGTTCCATGCGGCTCTCTGCATCCGCTGGGCACCGAAATCACTGTAATAAGCCCCAAACTATTTCCAATCAGATCAGAACTTTCCCTCTTGTACTGTATTGTATTTCAGCTGAATGCAATGGGGCTTCTGGGCAGGGCCCTGTTGGCTTCTGGGAGCTGTAGTCATTATGAGTGAGGTTACAGTGTAAGCTTATTGAGAGAAAACTACAAAATGGCGGCACCTGTCCAAAGTATTTTATTTTTTCATTAATTTTTTTTACTGTACAGTATCCAGTACTATCCCAATCACGTGAGTAATATTAAAGATGGCAATCATGTCCTGTACAATTTTTTTTCTCGTGTCCAATCTTACTTTGAAAAACTGCGATAGAGCGAGTCCACAAAAGTCAAATCGCGAAGTAGATTTCATAAGGTTTGAAAATCTCACTTTTTTTATTGTTTGTGCTCTTTGCCTCCTGTCTAGTTTGAGTTCATGGTAGAGTCAGTTCTTGTGGCCAGGGACCGCTGGCTCCGAGATGGAGGTGTGATGTGGCCCTCCTCTGCTGCCCTCACCCTGGTCCCATGTCAAGCCGACAGCTATTACACAGAGAAAATGGCCTTTTGGGAGCGGCTGTACGGCTTGGATTTCACTCCTCTTCAGTAAGAGTCACTAAACAACGTCCTGTCTTGTTTTTATTCTTCTGTTTTCACCTCATTTTCAAACAGTGAACTTGGCAGCACATTTCAGACATTTACTCCGGTAAAATGACAGGTTAGCGCTGGCTTGTTTGTTTTAAATTCATCATTTACTGAAATGACTTGTCTGTGATAGTCTGAAAAAAAAAAAAGAAGAAGCCAAAGCAGTGATTACATTTGAGCAGAATTATGCAAAATAGGAACTATGTAAAAATATTCATAAAAACAAAGTTTACTTGGAATGCTAGTGCTTCTCACGACTCCACATTGTCCTCCTGTAATGAACTTTTCCAGTCCAGGACAAGTTTTAAACCGGTGTCAATGACAATGTTTTTGTGCATGCAGCAAAACTCATTTCTCCTCCAGGCTCCGTTCTGTGCAGCACTCCCTCCGAGTTCACTGCAAAGATAAACACAACTTGAACTTGAAGATAACAATTACTAAACGACCACAAAGGCAGGTGGTAAAGCCTCCCTTTCCTAGTGTGAGGACAGAGCACTGCAGTGGCATTAAGTTGTTGCAAAAGAATTGCAATATCTTCTTTCCCAACGCAAGAACACGAAAAAATGTTCTGTACTCTTCAGTAAGTTGCATAAATTTCATTTTTTACTTTGTCTGTTGATTCTTGTTAGCTCATTTGTCTTCTTGTTCTGAACGTTCTGTAGGCCTTTAGCACAGCAGGAGTTCTTCACCAAGCCCAAATTCAGCCACCTCATGGAGCCCGACGACTGCCTGGCTGCTTCCTGTGACGTTATCCGTCTCGATATGTACACGGTGCAAGTGAGGGACCTTGAGGTAACCAACACATTTCATCTGCAGAATCTGCTGCAGCTTTAGCTTATCGCATTGTGAAACTAACAGAGCAGTGTTTCATTTCTCAGGAAATGAAGGGACAGTTTCATTTTTGTGTGAAAAAGGCCGGGGTTTTCCATGGCTTCACAGCCTGGTTTACAGTTTGGTTTGAGAGCCTGGAGAAGGGAGAAGCGACAGTGGAGCTGAACACCGGACCAAACTCTGAGTACAAAAAAAAAAAAAAAAAAACACAAGAAAATTGTGTTAAACTTGAATCAACACATATAAAATGAAACCCGTTTATTTCTGTTCAGGTCGACCCATTGGAAGCAGACTTTGTTCATGATGGACAGACCGGTCAGTGTGAACGCTGGAGACTCCATCAGAGGATCTATTGTTCTACACAGAAACCCGACGTGGAGACGTCACATGACCGTTACTCTGCACTGGAGCATCAACAGCAGCACCGATGATACAGACAAGGCAAACAGCTTACGTTTATCCACATTCGTTTATGATTCATAAACTGTCCCAGGGGATTTTATTTATTTTTTTCTTCTTCGTCTCGTTTTCAGGTTGGGACGAAAAGTTTCCCCATGTGGAGATGACAAAACTCACACAACGGAAAACCAGTTCAGTCTGTCCACACTCCAGCTGTGAGCTGCTGCCAGTCTGTAGTCCAGTTTGGTTACAAGTATGGTCTTCAGAGGATCATCTGGCTGGAGGTTTGGGCCTGTAGTGATCAGCCTGATATCTGCAGGAGCAAGAGGTGATCATACAAAGAGAAGATGCAACACACCTGGAGAGGAGGAGACATACGGATGGAGGACAAACGGTTTCCATCAGCCAGAGTTGGGCTGAGTTGAGTGCAACAGAGGGGGAATGCACATCTCACCACGTTTTTGTTTATTTTATTCACATTATCGTGTACGACAGCTGAACAGTCAGAATTGGATTTACTCTGCCGTTTATGGTTACAGCACACGTCTTTTGGGTTGTTTAAATTGGAACATTTTAACAATACTTTTTAATTGTTTATATACTCTGTGATGGACCTGCAACCAGTCCAGGGAGAAAGGAAGAAGTGGGTAAAGATGAATAATGAATGGAGGGTAGAAATCCCTCCATTCATTATACTGTACACCTAAAAATTAAAGTGAACAAGGTAAACCAGGGGTTCTCAAACTTTTTGGGTCCAGGGACCCCTTAAAGTTTCAGGGACCCCCTCATAACCCTTATGTTTATTAAATAATTTTCTTCAATTTGTCTCTTTAATGCCTTGGAAATATTTGTGTAACATAAATACTTAAGACCTGTTCTTTAATAGTGTTAATGCAATTTTTATACTTTTAAACATGGGGTATTTTTTATTCAAGACACGTTTAATTAACAAAATTTTTATTTCAGCCTTCAAAAATTACAGTTTTGAGAAAATTAATAGAATCAAAAAACACTTAAAAACTTTACCTAATTCACATAATGAACATAAATGTATCGCCACTTCTTCAAATTATTACAGAAAACTTTATATAAAACTGAACAGAAACAGCAGGGGGGGGGGGGGTAGTCTAGGGGTCCTCCCCCAGAAATTTTTGAATAAAGTACATGTGATTTCCTGCATTTTGGTGTATTTTAATGGGTTGTTAAACAGCTACGTGCTTGTAAAACAAAATGTATATTGTTTGCAGACCCCCATTTGAGAACTACTGATGTACACGACAGAAATAATAACTTTTTGCACTTAAATATGCGATAAATATATTGAACAAAACACTGTTGGAGTTAAAAGTCAGATGCTGATTATTCAAAGTAGAAACTCTTTCCCTTCATTATACTTTGTACCAATTTCCTAGACCAGAGTTTTGGCCTCTTACAGTTTAACTTCCTATGTCTGAAATTATACATTAGAACTACAAGAAGAATACTTTCAATTGTACAATTAGTAAACCTTTGCTGATTTCAGTTCAAAGTTTGCTAGAAGCTTTAATGCTTAATATTTTTGTCCCTTTTTCAGAATTCCCTCCATTTGTAAACATGTGACCTTTCCTTGCGACGTTAACTCTTCTGTGCTGTGACGAAACCGCTCATCGTCTTCGCTATGGCTCAGTCTTAAAAGACTTTGATTTAGCTTTGGAGCAGGTGTTGACCTCTGAGGACAAGGACTGAGCCGGCGAAGTCTCAGGAGATGTAGACCTGGAGAGCGGAACAAAGAGGGGGGGTTTCACGACTTTGTACTTGAGCTCGTTTTTCTTTTTCAAGTGTTTGTCACAGTGGTTAATGAACGTGTCCAGCTTGACGAAGGTCTTGTTGCACACCTTGCAGTGATACGGACGCTGTCCTTTTTTGAGGCGTACGTGCAGCCTGATGTAAGATGAGTGCACAAAGGTGCGGCAGCAGACGCCACACTTCAGATCCTCCGCATTACCTTGTGTTCCCTTAGGCTGGCTGAGTGTGGGTGCACGAACAGGTGCTGGTTTCGCCTGCCCGGAGGCCTCTTGAGCCTTGTGAGAGAGCAGAAGCGACTGAGAGCGAAACCTGGCGCCACAATGTTCACACACGAACGGTTTCTCCCCGGTGTGAATGCGAATGTGTGACAGAAGCCCGGCCTTCTGGGTGAAGGCCTTGTTGCAGTAGATACACCTGAAAGGCTTCTCTCCTGTGTGGAGCCGCCGGTGCGTCTTAAGATGCGAAGCCCGGCCAAAAGTCTTCCCGCACTCGGGGCATTTAAACGGCCTGTCTCCGCTGTGGATCGACTTGTGAACGATGAGGTGGGCGGACTGTTGGAACAACTTGCCACAGATGTTGCACCTAAACTTCCTCTCTTTGTCATGCGAGGCCAGGTGAAGGTTCAAGTGAGCGGAGGAGATGAAGGTTTTGGTGCAGAGGGTGCAGCTGTGAGGGTTCAGGTGCTTGTGGGACCTCCGACCATTCGAGGGGCTGCTGCCTGCCTGGCAGGATGGACATCTGGAAGGGCGATCTGAGGCTTTTGCTGCAGCTGATGTGCTGGACGGGTCAGGCTCAGAATGGAGGGGACTCAAACTGCATCCACAGTCTGAGCAGAGCTCTGAGTCTTTGCCAGCTTTAACCAGCATGCTGCCATTTACAACCACAGCAAGAGGCAGGGGGAGTCAACCTGAGAAAAGCAAAAAGGGCTTTAGAGTGGTGCAACTTTTACACACAGAGCAACTTTATATCCCAGTTCCTGCACCATGCTACCAGTTAAATTGTAGTTAGTCGATAAGCACAGGTAAAATAGAGAATTTGCATTTCCTGCAAAAATGCAGTGTGACTACGTGAAGAATTTCCCAAAATCAGCTGAATAGTAGCCAAAGAAGCTTAAATTAGCAGACGGAAGCAGAAAGAGCACAGTTGTACCCAATTATGCTTAAAAAGGCAGAAATGAGCACAAAAACTGGGAATTATCTGAAGAAAGCAGAAAACTGCTTAAATAAACAGAAAACTGCTAGAAATAGCAGAAATAAGCAAAAAGAGCACAACTGTACCCAAGTATGCTTACAAAAGCAGACATTAGCACAAAAAAGTGGGAATTATCTGAAAAAAGTTGAAATATTGAAAAGCTTAAATTTGTTAGGAGGCAGAGAGCACATTTTTTGCTGAGTTAGGTTGAAAAAAGTTTAAATGAGTGCAAAAAAATGTGGAATTAGCTGACATTAGCATAAAACAGCTAAACAGTAACTGAAATAGCAGAAACAGCTTAAACTTGTGTAAATAAGCTGAAAGGAATCAAACAAGCAGAAATAAGTTCGAAGAAGCGCAACAATGTTGGAAGTTAGCAGAATAAAGCTGAAAGCACAAAACAGCTGAATTATTTTTTTTATATATACATTTTGCACAGGAAGCTGAAAGATGCTTAACCAGAACAAAATGCGCAGTAAAAGGTTGTAAACAGATGCAAAGATATGAAGGATGGCTAAATGTCTCGAAAAGCTAAAGTTGCACCACCACCCGTCTCCTGAAAGAGCTGAACGTTTTTATATGAATTGTTGAAATAGCATAAAAAAATGTGGAACGAGCTGCATACTACATAGTTTAAGGAAACTCGAAGAATAAATATAAACGGGATCACTGTGGTGTGACTGCAGATTGCACAAGTCTAACCGCGCGCTTCCATCTGCTGGGCCCTGCCGCTGCCTCCGAGGATAAAGGATGCGACTAACATCTGATGAACACTTCACGCTCCGAGCGCATTCCTCCTGAGAAAACGTGCGTTTACTCGAGCGTTCGTCTTCTTACACCACGAAAACAAACGGGATTAAACAAAGAGTGCGCGTGGTGTTGGATTTTGTCGCGTGTGCGGCCTTTTTTTTTTTTTTTTTTTTTTTCCGGCGAAGCAGCGGCTGGACAGGAGCTGCAGCAACATCTAGCGAGCGGCGGAGCAACAGTCGCCTCCATCTCTTGTTCAGGCTTTCGTTTATCGGAAACTTAAACTGCTGGCTGCTACTTGGTTTCGATTGTTCAGAAATGGGCTGGCTTTCAGTTTATCCTGTCCTTATAAAACACAGACTGGGACCAGTTCCTCCAGAGCTGATGCATCCTTCACCGATAATGCAGGTACTGTGATTTTTATGACTAGTTTGCATGTTTTGGAGTATTTATGAGTACAATACTTCAAATGAATGTGAAAAGAAAGGATGACAAAAAGCAATGTGATGATGTATTTTAAGTTCTTTTACAACCAGTTTTTTTTTATTTTTTTTTATATAAACTTTGAAACAAGTCGTGTATTTACTGTGGATATGACTCAGTGTTCAATACTCTGGCAAATATCTGAATTTAAAAAAACAAAAAAAAAAACAACTACCTATATTGAATTGGTCAAAGGTGCATGTATGAAGATAAATCAGTCAGACAAGTGTATGAGATTTGTAAAAACGTTACTAGAACTGCCTTCTTCCACCTGCGTAATATCGCTAAAATTAGAAACATCTTATCTAAAAATGATGCAGAAAAACTGGTTCATGCATTTGTCACATCCAGACTGGATTATTGCAATGGTTTATCTGGGTGTCCAAATACTTCTAAAAAATAAAGTCTTCAGTTAATCCAAAATGCTGCTGCCAGAGTCTTCCATTCAAGTCAATTCAAAAATACTTTATTAACGCCAGAGGGACATTTTATGTTGGGTAACTCATCATCCTGGTTTCATTAAAGAGTTGTTATAGATGCTGGTGGCTGTGGGCAGGAAGGATCTCTTATAGCGTCTGTCCTACAACGGATTTGAAGAAGCCTCTGACTGAAGACACTGTTGTATGACAGTCTGATGAAGAGGATGCTGAGGGTTGTCTATAATGTTCTTCATTTTATGAAGAATCCTTCTTTGTACAATCATCTCCAAAGGTTCTAGAGGAGTCCCCAGAACTGAGCCAGCCTTCTTTATGAGTCTTTTTAAAGTCACTTGCTCTGGTGCTGCTCCCCCAGCAGATGATGGCAGAAGAGATAGTGCTCTCTACAACAGACTTCTAGAAGATATGCAGCATCTTGCTGCAAACGTTGAAGGACTTCAGCTTCCTCAAGAAGAACAGTCCCTTCTTGTAGACGGCTTCACTGTTGCATTTCCAGTCCAGTCTATTGTCCAGGTGAACTCCAAGGTATTTATACTTCTCCACCACCTCCACTTCTTCTCCCATGATGGAAATAGGGTTGGACCTGTTCCTGATTCTCCTGAAATCTACAATCATCTCCTTTGTTTTGTTCACATTCAAGATGTGATGATTGTTTCCACACCATGCCACAAAGCGGTCCACCAGTTCCCTGTACTCAGCTTCTTGTCCATCTCTGATACATCTGATACATCCTTAACTGGAGTTTTAGCTTCTCTCCACTGGCTCCTTGCCAAATCCAGAAATGAATTCAAAATCTTACTTCTAACCTACAAAGCTCTCAACAACCTAGCTCCATCTTATATTTGAGATCTTGTTGTTCCATATTTTCCTAACAGAGCACTTCGCTCTCAGACTGCAGGCTTACTTGTGGTCCCTATTGTTTCCAAAAGCAGAGTGGGGGGGAAGATCTTTCAGTTATCAGGCTCCTCTCTTGTGGAACCAACTTCCAGTTTCTGTCAGTAAGGCACATTGTCCAGTTTAAGACTGAGCTTAAGACTTTCTTTTTGATAAATCCTATAGTTAGGGTTGGCTAGCTATGCTGCCTTAAGCTTAGACTGCTATAGGAAAAATTGACCTTAATTTCTTAAATTAATTGTTAAAATTGAATAGTTTTCATTGGATACTATTTATATCTTAACATGTGATTCTTGACCTGCCATACCAAACCCAGCCGGTCGAAGCAGATGGCCTCTTGTCCTGATTAGGGGCTTGGAGTCTCACTGTTTTAACTGAAGCCACAACCTGGTCTTTGGTCTTGCTGACATTCAGCTGGTTGCTCTCTGCCTCATCCATATAGGCTATTTCATCATTGTTGAATATGAAACAGCACCATTAAATCATCAGACTGAAAACTTAAAGATTGTTTTGGAGTCACGATTGGCTGTTCACAGTCAGTGAAGTATTTAGAGAGAATAACAATGGACTAAGCATACACCCTTGAGGAGCTCCTGTGATTGCTGGTGATGTTGCTGGAAATTGGGCTGCAGCCAACAGTCTATTAAAACAATCACAAAAAAGAATATATATATATATATATATTTTTCCATTAAATGTAATCTATGTAATTTTTTAAGTACTGGCATTCAGAATGTGTTTTACATAAAGAAAGGTCTGTTGGTGTTAACTCAGTTTATTTCAGGAACTACGTTGAGTAATTTTGACTTTTTATGTTGACGCAAAGAGTTTAAGCCATAGTTTGTGACAATATTTTGATTGTGTTGCAGCACACAGACCAGGAAAGATGAGTGGGAAGACGAATAAACCTCGGTGAGTTGCACCACCTCCACCTCTGCTCTCAATGGAAAAAATATCAAGTCAAAGTTTATTTATAGAGCACATTTACAATAACCGCAGTTGACCAAAGTGCTTGACAATAATCACAACATCATAAAAACACGATAAAAGAAATAAAATTGAGTTTAATGAAAATAAAAGTATGATAAACATTTCCAGTAAAACACCAATAAAATAATAGTACAATAAAAATCAAGACACACTTTATTTCAGTTGTTGCAATTTCCCAAAAACTCAAATCAATCAAGTACAATTTTGAGGTTTAAGTGACGTTGAAGACCTGTGAAAATAGATGTGTTTTTAGTCTGGACTTAAACTGATTTATTGAGAGAGAGCTTAACAGACAGAGGGAGACTGATCCACAGTCTGGGTGCTGCCACAGAGAAGGCTCTGTCACCTCTAGTCTTTAACCTCGCTTTAGAGACAGCCATCAAAAGCTGGTCGGCTGACCTCAGGGCTCTGGATGGTGTAGGGCTGCAACAGCTCACTTAAGTAAGATAAATGGTAAATGGACTGTACTTACCGGACTTTCTGCCGTACAAGTCGCACCGCCGTATAAGTTGCATCAGTCCAAAAATGTCTAATAACATGGAAAAATAACATAAAAAGTCACATCTATTATGTGTCACCGCCAACGCGTTGTGTTTGTTATGCGTTACTGCTGACCACCCGGAAACATGAGCTGGTGTTATGCCAAAAATCGACTGGCTGCTAAAATGGCAGCTGCGGGAGTGCGCACAGGATGACTTTAAGAAGAATTTAATACAATTAACACTTTAAAAACAATTGTTTGCTCAAAATTATAGCAAAGGTGTGTCTCAGTTGGACTTTTCCTTAATAAATGCACTTTAATGGTTAAATCAGCTGCATTTCACCTGGGCGGCGCGGCGAAATGGAGCTGATTTGATGTTTGCTCCAGGAGTTCTGGAGCGAGACGACGATGCCCTCTATAGCCACTTTTACCTATTAATGACACTTGGCTTGCCATAAGGCTTAAGGGCCCTCTAGTGGCTGCAAATGGTAATGTTTAATATTTTTCATGTCAGAATGAATCAAATCGTCAGATCTCAGTCAAACATTAGGTTATAAATATGGGGGAAAAAGGTACATTAGTCACTTTGGTGTATAAGTTGTAGGACTTGCAAATTTATGCAAAAAGGTGCGACTTAAATGCTGGAAAATACGGTGTATAGCGCCTTTCTATGTTATCAAGACACTCAAAGCGCTTTACAATACAATATGTGCCCTCATTTACCCATTCAGCACTCTACTAGATCTCTACAAAGCTAAATGAACAAATCATTCTAAAAAGACTAATCAGTGCTTTATCACATTCATCCACCAATGGGACACACATCGGAGGCAATGAGGGGTTCAGTGTCTTGCCCAGGGACACTTTGGCATCTGACTGCTGGTGGAGTTGAACCCTCAACTCTTGCATTGGAGATCGACTGCTCTAACCACTCATCCACAGCCACCCTGATGGCTGAAAATGTGTCCATAGCGTTTAAACACTTTAAATCAATCAATAAAACTTTAAATTTCATCTGATTAGCAACAGGGAGCCAGTGAGGGGAGTGCAAAACTTTGATAATAAATTCACGCCTCCTTGTGTTCGTTAGCAGACGGGCTGCAGCGTTTTGGACGCTCTGCAATCGCTGCAGGGAGCTCTGGTCCAACCCTAAATACAAAGAGTTACAATAATCTAAATGAGATGTAATAAATGTGTGGATAGCCCTCTCAAGATCACACCGAGGAAGATAAGGTTTTATCTTAGCAAAGGCCCTCAGCTGGAAGAAACTGGCTTTGATAACGGTGCTAATATGCTTATCAAATTAGGCAAAAGGGCCTTATCCTACTCCGCTCCTGTTTCCTGGAATATCTTACAAAACAGAGGGTCAACCATCACACCCAGATTTTTCACAAACTGATGACAGGAGGACAAAGGACCAACCACACTGTCATGCCCAAGCAGGGGATTGCATTGACTGAACACTAGAATCTCCATTTTTTCCTTATTTAAGGTTCAGAAAATTTGCTCTCAACCACACCTGTACGTCCCTAAGCAACGACTGATTTAAACATGGGAGTTCTTCAAAAATTGTTGAAAACAAGTTCAAATGTCTGAACACAACCCATTAATTTGAAATCACAGTTAAAATATGTGCAAAAGTTGCATCTGTTTTCCCAGAAAAAAACCCCAATGAAATTCACCTTATTTTTCAAAGAACTATAAAATGGTAAGAGAAATGATTAGACAAGATTTTTTTTTTTTCCATTTTGTTAGCCTATTCTAACCATCTTTTGTTCCCTAAATGTTGATCAATTTGTTAAATTTCAATATGATACATAGGTACAGTATATTGATCCAGGGAAGAGTTCAGTACTAGAGCAATGTTCAGTAATTTAAAAATTGATTCTTTATTAAGCAAAACTATCTTATTTGGACATTAGCATGTTTCTGGTATCAAAGTATGTCCCAGTTTTTAAGAAGTCCAAGTTTCAGTCATATCTTTTCTGCAATTTAAACTCTGTTTAATGAGTGGCCAAAAACAGATCAACTGGTGGTGTCATTTGTTTCAGGCAGATTCTTAATAAGAGTTGTTCATGACACCTTTTCAATAAAACAAACTTGCCATCATTTAGTTTCATTATTCTACTCATCGTACTAGATTCACTACAGTTAATGAACATAAAAGCAAAACTGAGAATAAAATCAAAGTTTCTGGAAGATATGCATTGTCCTCTGGTTTAAATATTTATACCATGGGCTACCAGTCAAATGAAGGCGTATTAAGCAGGACTTAAAATCAAAACTAGCTTATAAAATGCCAGATAAGTAACTCATAAATGGGACATAAAATCTTAGGAGACACAGGATTGCCTCAGATTTTGAAAGTTAATTTTTCACATAATGAATAAACCATAACAGAATATGAATGAATTTATATGAATGCAGTTTAAAGAAGAAAAAAAATAAAAATAAAGAAAGGGGTTGTTTGTTGTTGGGTAAATGCTTCACATCATACAACAGTGGGAGCGACATTGTATGTTACAAATCAAACATTTGGTTAAAAATGATTGCTTTTGTGTTGGTTACAAAGTTGAATATGCAAGAAGCATAACAAACCAATGAGCCTCATATTAACTCAAGCTGAAAGTAAAAAGCATATAATATTTCACACACAATGGGGCTCTCCATTCTGGATTATGGGGCTTAATAATTTATTTTATTGTTGGTTTTAATTTTGGACTCTTGTTTTGTTTAGGACTACCTTTGGGGCTACAGCCCCACCATTCATTGACTATTTGAAAGATATTCTGCGGCGATATCCAGACGGTGGACAGATTTTGAAGGTTGGTATATTCAAATTCTGATGGTAAACATTACTTTCTATAATCCTTCTTTCCAGTGGTGGGCACAGCTAATCAAAAAGTTACTGTAGCTTTGTTAACCACTAATTCGTCTAAACTCTTAAAACAGATTTTTTTTTAATTATCAGAAGCTAACGTTTAAGTGCTAACTTTTATCATACACTGCTGTCACTGACACTGTAAGACTGTAATGTGACAACGCTGTAAGTGAACACAGCTCAAGGGTTTATAAATCACAAGTAAAGCACACATCCTGTTCAGAGGTGAGCTTTCAGTACTTAATCTCATAGACATAAATACATAGATGCCCCCTTGAGCGGGCTGACACGTTGCAGCGGTACATCAGAGCATCCGCCATATTGGATGTGGCAGAACTGCCGGTCAACTAATACAAGGAAATGGACTTCTTCTTCTTTTGGCTTTTCCCTCTTCAGGGGTCGCCACAGCGAGTCATCGTCCTCCACCTCACTCTGTCCTCTGCATCCTCTGTCCGCACTCCAACTACCTTCATGTCCTCTCTAACTTCATCCATATATCTCCTCTTTGGACTTACACTTTGTCTTTTTCCTGGCAGCTGCATTTCTAACATCCTTCTACCAATATGCCCACGGTCCCTCCTCTTGACATGTCCAAACCATCTCAGTCTGGCCTCTCTAACTTTATCTCCCAGTTGTTCAACCTGTGCTGTACCTCTAATTATCTCATTCCTAATCTTATCCAGCCTTGTCACTCCTAAGGAGAACCTTAGCATCTTAATTTCTGCTACTTCCAGTTCTTTCTCCTGTCTTTTTGTCAATGCCACTGTCTCCAGACCATACAATATAGCTGGTCTCACCACTGTCTTGTAAACTTTTCATTTGACCTTTGCTGACATCCTTTTGTCACAAATCACTCCTGAAACTTTTCTCCATCCACTCCATCCTGCCTGGCTCTCTTTTTCACCTCTTTACCACATTTCCCATTTTCCTGGACAGTGGACCCCAAGTACTTGAAGTCATGCACCTTTGTGACCTCTGCTCTTTGTAGCCTCACTGTTCGTCCAGCCTCCCTCTAATTTACACACATGTACTCTGTTTTACTACGGCTGACTTTCATTCCTCTTCTTTCAAGTGCATACCTCCACATCTCCAAGTTCTCTTCCACCTGTTCCCTGTTCTCACCACAGATCACACTGTTTTCTGCAAACATCATAGTCCACAGGAATTCCTGCCTGACCTAATTTGTTAGTTGGTCCATCACCAGAGCAAACAAGAAGGGGCTCAGAACCGATCTTTGATGTAATCCCACCTCCACCTTGAAGCTATCTGTCACTCCTACAGCACATCTCACCACTGTCCTGCTGTCCTCATACATGTCCTGTACCAGTCTAACATACTTTTCTGCCACTCCAGATTTCCTCATGCAATACCACACCTCCTCCCTCGGCACTCTGTCATATGCTTTTTCTAAATCCACAAAGACACAATGGAGTTCTTTCTGACCCTCTCTGTACTTCTCCATCAGCATTCTCAAAGCAAATATGGCATCTGTGGTGCTTTTTCTTGGCATGAAACCATACTGCTGCTCACAGTCACCTCTCGTGTAAGTCTTGCTTCCACAACTCTCTCCCTGATCTTCATTGTGTGGCTCATCAACTTAATTCCCCTCTAGTTGCTACAACTCTGTACATCACCCTTGTTCTTAAAAATGGGCACCAGCACACTTCTTCTCCATTACTGAGGCATTTTCTCACCCTTAAATATGCCATTGAATATTTGAGTCAAAAACCTCACTGCCATCTCTCCAAGACATTTCCAAACCTCCACTGGTATGTCATCAGGTCCTACTGCCTTCCCCTTCTTCATTCTTTTCAAAGCTTTCTGGACTTCACCCTCACTAATCTTTCCCACTTCCTGGTCCACAGTTCTATGACCTCTACTCTTATTTCTCTTTCATTCTCTTCATTCATTACCTCCTCAAAGTATTCCTTCCATCTTCCTGTCACACTCTCCTCACTTGTTAGAACATTACCATTACTATCTTAATAAGCCTAACATACTGCACATCCTTTCCAGCCTGATCCCTCTGTCTTGCCAATCGGTACAAGTCCTTCTCGCCCTCTTTAGTGTCCAGTCTCCCATACAACTCATTGTACGCCCTCTGCTTTGCTTTAGCTACTTTCCTCTTTGCTCTATGTCCCATCTCCTTATATTCCTGTCTCCTCTCTTCAGTCCTCTCGCTGTCATATTTCTTCTTGGCTAACCTCTTTCTTGGAACGGTGTCCTGCACTTCACTATTCCACCACCAGGTTTCCTTATCATCCATTCTCTGTCCAGATGACACACAAGTACCTTCCTACCTGTCTTTCTAATTACTGTTGCTGTAGTAGTCCAGTCATTTGGAAGCTCTTTCTTCCTACCCAGAGCATTTAACAACTCCTCTCTGAATTTCTCACAACATTCTTCCTTCTTCATCTTCCACCATTTGGTCTAATTCTCTGATTTTAACTCTTTTTCTCTTCTTCACAACAACAGTCATTCTACACACAACTATCCGATGCTGTCTGGCCACGCTCTCCCCTGCCACAACCTTACAGTCTCCAATCTCCCTCAGGTTTCCTCTTCTACACAGAATGTAGTCGACCTGCATACTCCTTCCTCCACTCTTATAGGTCACTATATGTTCCTCCCTCTTTTGGAAATGGGTATTGACTAAAGCCATTTCCATTCTCTTGGCAAAATCCACCACCATCTGTCCTTCCTGGTTTCTTTCATTGACACCAAACCTACCCATCACTTCCTCATCCCCTCTGTTTCCTTCACCAACATGTCCATTCAGGTATGCTCCGATCACCACTCTCTCCTCCCTGGGAATACTCTCTATCACTTCATCCAGATCTTTCCAAAATATATCTTTCTCCTCCTCATCACATCTAACCTGTGGAGCATAACCACTGATGATGTTTAGCATCAGACCTTCTACTTCTATCTTCAGGCACATCACCCTATCTGACACTCTCTTCACCTCTACTAAATTCTTTGCCAACTCCTCCTTTAGGACCACCCCTACCCCATTTATCTTTCTATCCACACCATGGTAAAACAGTTTGAACCCTGCTCCAATGCTGCGAGCCTTGCTGCCCTTCCGCTTGTCTCTTGGGACACATAAAACATCTACCTTTCTTCTCTGCATCATGTCAGCCAGCTCTCTACCTTTGCCTGTCATTGTCCCCACATTTAGAGTTGCAACCCTCAGTCTTACATTCTCCACTTTCCTCTTCTCCCTCTGTCTCCTGAAATGTTTCCCTCCTCGTGGTCTTCGACTAACAGTAGCACAATTTCCGCCGGCACCCTGTTTGTCAACAGTACCAGTGGCGGTCATTGTTAACCCAGGTCTCGACCGATCCGGTATGGTTTCACTTTGATGAACTCACATTATTGTTTTGGCAAAAGTGTTTTACATCAGATGCCATTCCTGACACAACCCTCACCATTTACCCGGGCTTGGGACCGGCACAAGAGATACACTGGCTTGTGTTCCCTAGTGGCTGGTTTAATACAAGGAATTTCTTTCCTTCCAATACAAGGAAATGGACTGAACTTCATAAAACACCATTCTAAAAAGAGTTTGAAGTTCATTCCTGTCATTCACACACACTAAAATATCTGGAAAACAAACAGGCACCAAAGACAACATTTGTAACTTTTAACCTGATTATTAAAAATGTTTACTCGTTAAATGTTAAGGTTAAAGCTTAGCACTAATCCAACATATGTATTCTTTTGAGTGTTTACAACTACTAATGTGTGTAACATTAGAATTCTAGAATTCTAAAGTTCTAGAATTGCGCCGCTCAAGGTGGCTGCGTGTTGGAGCAGCTCTGTTACTTTCATTCTGAGATTTTGCTTTTGGAAACTTTAATTCCTCTTTTTCTGGATGTAAATCACATTTTTTGGATGATTGTTTCCTCTGGTATCGGATGCTGTGCAGCTGGAAGGATTTTTACGGAAACTTTTTTAGTTTTGGACATTTGTTATGATGCGTAACCATGGCAACAAGGCAGTTTTAACAACCAACAGCAGCTGATTAACATCTCAAAAGCTCAAGTAATATCTCAACTACAGCCCTAAATTTCAAACGAGTTGAAAAGGATGTTCTGTGGACGCATTTTCATCTACCTGCCAGCTGTGCTCGAGTGCCTGACCACTGAGATCCTGGAACTAGCAGGAAACACGGCTCATGACAGCGGAAGGACAAGATCGTCCATCAGCACCTACAGTTGGCTGTCCGCAGCGATGAGAAGCTCAACAAGCTGCTGGGAGGAGTGGCCATTGCCCTGGGATGATTTCTGCCCAACATTCAGGTGATCCTGAAGCCCAGGAGGCCAACCAAGTGCAAGTAAACGGATCAACATCTGTGGCCAGTTTCTTCAGATCTGCTATAAGACGGACCATCACAAGAGATTCTTCCCGCCCACAACCATCAACATCTAGAACAACTCTTATGAAACAAGGAAAATGAGCTACAACAACATTTAATTTCCCTCTGGGATTAATAAAGTATTTTTGAATTGAATTGAACATGATTACTGTGGCGATAAATATAGAAATATTCATATTTAATATTTAATATGTGTCTATAATAACCAGATCCTGAAATGTAGATTATTATAGATAAAAATTAAATGTTAAAATATGAACTATATTTATCACCACAGTAATATTTGTTACACACATTAGTAGTTGTAAACACTCAAAAGAATATACCGGTACATATGATGGTTGAGTGCTTACCTATAACCTAAATATTTCATGTGTAAACATTTTTAATAATCACTTTAAAAGTTACAAATTTTGTTTTTGCTGCCTGTTTGTTTTCCAGAAATATTAGTGTTAGTGAATGACAGGGATTAACTTCAAACATTTTGTAGAATGGTGTTTTATGAAGTTCAGTCCATTTCCTTGTATTAGTTGACGAGTAGTTCTGCATATTCAAAATTATGT